TATTTCCACCTTGAAAAAGTATCTAATTTAGTAGTTAGAAAGCTGGGCCGAAACAAAAGGCAAAGATAGCAAACAGGGAACTGTCCTTACCATGTAGCCCCTAGGTTATACTGAAATTTGATGATTTCTGACAGAGGCAAACCAACTAGTGATCCAGACTGAAAAACAGTTAACACAGCCTATGGGGTTGAAGTGGGGTTTTCAAGAATATTTTTGACTGCCCAAAAAAGTCAGAGTTTGGAGATCCATAATCTTATTTTTAAAACATCAGAAATAAAAATACATTATTCATCATTTTATCTAAAAATTTAGATAAAATTTTAAAACTTCTCTAACAAAATAGTTTAGAGATGATAATCATCTAAATTAAAATGACTTAATGAGGTAGCAGTGAAGAGCAGAATAGCCATGTTATCTCATTGTCCTGATCATGTGTGTTTGAGTTGATTTTACTGTGTTTGGAGTTATACTGAACTGAGCACAGAAGTTTGCTTTGATGGAGACTGAGGTTCACAGGGGGAGATGCTGGGAAGTAGCCTCCCTAACCCCAGACTTGCAGGCTGTCTCCCTGCTGGTTCTGGATGATTGCTCTCTGACAGGGAAAAGTAACCAGGACAAATGAAGAACACATCCTGTAAACAATGTGTATGGTGTGATCCCTTTTCTGGCTGAGAGAAAATTAAGCCTCTGTAAGTAATAGATTTAGCAGAAAAAAAAAAAAAATCTAACTACATACTTACTGAATAGGTGAGGATGTGATATAGGGAGAAACATTCCTTTGTATGTTACTCAGCTCTTAAAATGGTTTTTTAATGTGGCATGTATTGCTCTCATCAGAGAAAAGGGGCAAAACTACATTAAAATAACTCCTAATTTGGAGAGTACTGTGTTTCAACCTTGTGCCTTTGTTGTCCCAGCTAGCCGAGGTATGGAGGATGTCAGTGGCACTAAGAAGATGTAGTTACCTTGTTGAGTCCCAGCAGCGGAAGTCCTCAGAATCTTTGTTGCTGACTTGACCCCACTTACTTGGCATCGCTGAATGTTTGAGCCTGGCTGGCTGGCTGCACAGTGTTGATGTGTTCATTGCATGTGCGGGAGCTCTTTCTTTAGGCCTTGTAGAAGTGTGATCAGCTCAAGGCTGATCATGTTGAGTGTGTTAGAGGCTATAAAAATGGCACCACAAATAACATAGGGTACAGACTGCCCACTGAAGGCCTTCTCTATCAGCTCCTTCCTTGCGGGGCCTCTTCTTTGGCTTCAGATGGGCTTTTCCCTTTTTCCACCATGGCGGTGTTCGCCATTCCTAGCTGTGTGCTTTCTTAGACTGTGAAGACAGCTCTGTGTGGTCCTGAGATTGCCAGGATGGTTCCTCCTGTAATTTGTGTTCTGTGTGAGATGCATAAGTACACTGTTCATCTTGGAATTGAACCTGGAAGCTGACAAATGGGTCTGTGGCACTCTCGGCCATTATTCAGTTTACTTGTTTTGATTATTAAAGTAGATGTTTTGAAATTCCTAAGAATCTTGCTTATTGGGATTGGTTTTTCTCCCCTCACCTAGTTTATCTCCTTGGACTTTTTATTTCCTAGGAGGGTGTTAATGGAGAAAAAGATCACCTGACTTGGTTAATAATCCTGGAAATACAAATTGAAACAAGAATGAGAAATGCATTTTACTCACCATATTGGAAACAGTTATAAGGTTGGTGATCAGTGTCAGCACAGGTGTGTGGAAACGGGTAAGGCTGAGGGCAGCTTAGCACCGAGGTGGAAGACATGGGTTCTGAAGCCAGTCTGGGCATGCTGCTGCCTGGTCAACCCCACCACCGTCGCCCTGGTGGTGCATGTCCTGTCTATGAGTGAGGAACGGTCATGCCTGTCTCATCGGCTTGTGTGAAGAAGACATTAGTTAACATACGTAAAATGCTTAAGAACAGTATTCTGAGCCCACAGTGCAGTGGACTGTGAGTGAAAACATAGTAATATTCATTCACTCTTGGTGGGATTGCAAAGTGACACAGTCTTTTGAGAAGGTGTGTGTGTGTGCATGCTTAGTCATGTCCGACTCTTTGCAACCCCAAGGACTGTAGCCCACCAGGCTCCTCTGTCCATGGAATTCTCCAGGCAAGAATATTGGAGTGGGTTGCCATTTGCTTCTCTATTTTGAGAAGGTATTTAGGCTTTATTAAAATTTTAAATGTATATGCTCTTTGATCCCTCCATTCCCTTTCTAGGTATGTATCTTACAGAAATATTTCCAAATGCGTACAAATTAAATGAAAGAAAAATGTGTTGGTATTATTGAACACCATGTAATAATTAAAGCAGGTCAGTTCATTGGTGTGTCCAGGACATATCCTGTATGTGTTAACAGGCACACACCCATGTGGTAAGTTCTGTGAGGTGTTTGGTGAGAACAGCAGGTTGCAGAAGAATGTGCACATGGGGTTCTGCTTCTCTTTGGTGTAAACACATTTGTGTGTGCACATATTTTATAGGCAATAGGGCCAAAAAGACTGAAACTTCACTCTTACCGTGGGTAGTGGCTGCCAGAGGAGGGGGTGGGGCTGGAGGTGAGCAGAGTCTTAGCCTTCTGCCGTGTGTTCTCATGCAGAGCTTGCCGTGTCCATCCAAAGGGTGTGCTCACGTTACTCATACCACTGTTTTAAAATTTCATGAAAAAACTTACAGTGAACTAAAAATTGCCTAGTCTTCTAGGCCAGAGGAAGGGAAAGTTTTGGGAAAGGAGACAGGATGGTTGGACAGGGGCTCCTCTGTGGGGCTGAATCCCCACAAGCCCTTCCACTAACACAGGCAACTAAGTTAACATTTCTGAGCTTTGGTTTTCTATTTTGTAAAATGGGAGAGTAGTTAGTGCTGTTGGTTTACATTTAGGTGAGTGAACTCAGTCTTCCCATAACTAGCATTTTACAAACATAATTGAAAATGTCCTGTAATAAATGCAGTTCATGATTTTAAGATATTTAAATACTGGATGTTGGAAAGTGGATCTCGTATCTAAGACAGACTCTATACACTGCTGGGTCATGAAAGAACTTCTCGTCCTGGCTTCTTGGTCACAACGTATCAGTTCTTAAATCTTCCCATACTTGGGATATGTCTTGGCTGGTTCAGCATTTTGCTTTCATATGGATTTTTAAAATAAAAACAGGCGTACCTATAAATTTTATTAAGAATGTTCATTTGCTTGGGCTTTTGTAACAGTTCACAGCTCTGGGGTCTTACGTGTCTGAGGTTAAGTTGTCAGCAGGGTTGGATTTGTCTGGAGCTCTGAACGCAATCTGTTCTAGGCATCTCTCCAACTTCTGGTGGTGCCAGCAACCCTGGCTTGTAGACCTATAACCCTTTACAAACTACTTATTTCTGCAGAGACCCTGTTTCCCAATAAAGTCACGTTCTGGGTACAGGGGGTTAGCACAGGAACATGTCTTCTGGAGGGAGCATAGTTCTGTCCACAGCAGGTGCTCAAGCTGATGATTCTGACTCTCAACATGAGGTCTTGATTGAGGATGAGGGTGAGGGAGTCCTGGCCCCCTAGGGTTTCTGCAAGGCTCTTCTTTCATTTTACAATTTTATTGGAGCCTTTGGAAAAGATACAGCCAGGAGATCAATATCAGTTCTACTGTTTGGGGCTCATTTCCAGGTGGTTTCATGTGGGTCTTACTATTTGGGCAACTTTGCTTTTGTATTCTTTAGTGCTACTCTTCTTGGTTGTTACAGATGGAATAGTTTGATTTTCAGACTCTAATTTTTTTTTAATTGAAATGTAACTGATATATATGCTTCTTTTTAAAATATACCAATAACTTGATTCAAATACCCGTTATTGCAAATTTTAGCTTTTGTTTTCCCATTTATGTATTTTAGTTTCATTGTAAACCTTCATGAAATACGTCAAAGCCATATGGCAGACTGCTGTCTATAGTTTGTATTTTAGGTCCTAAAACACCTTAGGCGTTTGTATTGGGTTGGCCAAAAAGATCGTTTGGCTTTTTCCAGCAGTCTTATAGAAAAAATATTTGGAAAATTAGAGAAACAAATGTGATGTTTACCGAAATTATATTCTCTCCCTTTGCTCACACTGAAGAATCTTTCGTTTTCAGGGATAAAATCCATGATCCTGTAAATGTTTTGTTTATTCACTGATCTAGTCAGCAGACATTTTTTACTGGACGCTACTCCGGGGTGGGGGTTCAGCAGTGACCAGAGGAAAGCCCCTGCCCTCATGGAGGAGGCCTGGGTGGATGGTTAGAAGGTACCTGTTGTGGAGGAGGGCATGGAGGTGCTGTTAGTCGGGTGACCAGCCACCCTGGGGGACAGTGAAGGAGAGGGTCATAAGGCACCCTGCCAGAGGTGAGGAGGAGGCCTGGGCCCCAGGGAAGTGGGTGGGCATGGAGAGCGAGCACCACCAGATGCTGAGTGGAAGTGAGGACACAAGTGGAGGTGAGCTGGGGCGGCGACAGCAGACCCTGGATGTGGGAAGCTGTACCTTCCCTAACCATCAAGCACTTGATAGCTGGTCTTTCATCCAAATAATTGCCAGTTCTTAAAACTGAGAGTGCGCACACTCAGCATACATCTGACCTGGAGGCCACACTCACAGTCTGGCACTTCTGTTCACTGCTGTCATTCTCCTTCCTGGAGACTTGAGTTTCCCTTCTTAGCCATTTTCAAACCTAGAAGATCCGACCTTGCAGGGAGAAGGAGTAAGTTGGAGGAGTTGGTTGGTGTCTAGTGCACGCATGTAAGGGGAAGGCAGGGACACAGGGAGCCCTGTGGGATCTCTATGCGGCTCAGGAGTCTAGCAGTTTTTAGGAGCAGACCTCAGTGTGTCCTGAGCAGAGAACACAGGGCGTGTGACAGCTGTGTCTGCCCTTAGGGCCTGAAGGGGCGGCCTTGGTGTGCAGGTGGCATGGGGACACGCGTGTCTGTGTTCAGACAGCTGACATACTTCTAATCAGACGCAACCTGTCCTCATAGGCCCACCGACGACAGCAACCAGCCCCCAGGCCGCGGTGTCCTGTCCATGCATGGGCTGACCTACGGGGTCATCCGTGTGGACTCGGAGGAAAAGCTGTCTGTGCTCACCGTGCAGGACGTCGGCCTCGTGATGCCTGGAGGTGAGGGTGGGGGTGGGTGCAGAGCCACAGGCTGGAGAACTAGCACCCTTCAGCCTTTCCTGCAGGGCCCGCCTCAGTGGGGATCCTGAGGTAAAGACAGAGCTTCCCATGGGACAGGGAGGCTTTCTGTTCAGACAGGCTCAAGAGACTGGAGCAGTGTCCTGTGCTCATTGGTTTCAGGGCTCAGACTGTGTCCTGGAGGCCGTGTGCACTGGCTGATGACACACGTCATGTGGTCTGTTCTCAGTGTCATCCTCATGTCTGCATGGTGTGTAAATCCCATTTACACCCTAAACTTAAAGCAGTGCACAGCTATGAAATGTTTTAATGCAACAAGAAAATCACAATTTGCTTCAGGGACTCTGAGGGCCTGTTCTCTTTCACTTGTGGTTTTGCTGCAGATGCTACTTCTGTTTGTGTTCTTTTTTGTATCCATTTATTTCTCCTCTCCAGCTCCCCCCACTCCCTCTCTAAAGTCACCTGTGCTTCCTGTTTTGCATTCAGCCATCATGTGTTCGGTAAAGCCAGATGGGGTTCCCCAGCTGTGCAGGACAGATGAAGTCGGGGAGCTCTGCGTGTGTGCAGTGGCCACGGGCATGTCCTACTACGGCCTCTCGGGTATGACCAAGAATACCTTCGAGGTAGGTGGCAGGTGAGCCCCATCAGACAGCTTTTGCCAGGTGCGTGGAATAGATGTGAAAGGAGATGGTGATTTCTCAGTAAAACATGTTCATGGTAATTACAATGGTTGTACTTTCTCCTGCCATTTTATATAGCTTTTGATAAATTTGGCTTAGCAGCCTTGTTTTCACCTCATAACCAGAGTTGAGAAAGAGCAAGTACAGTTTCTCTAGAGGCAGCCTTTTTCTTATTGCCATTCTCACCCATCTAGAAAGAGCAGCAGCTGATGGGTAGGGGCTGGGGAGCGCGCAGCCCTGCTGAGGGGAGGGCGCAGCAGCCTCCTTAGGGACTGTCTGCCTCGGCCAAGCATTCACACTGCACAGCTGCCTCCACCACATAAGCATGTGTCCGTTCTGTGTGCACGTGGTGTGGCATGCAGTTAGCACACACATGTGCACACTGCCTGGTAAACCCAACATTCTCAGAATTCTTAGCATTTCACCAAGTGTGCTGCCCTTAGGAGGAGCACACTTTGACTAAGTTGTATGTTAGCAAATAGAGTTGATTGGGGATAAATTTTTTAAAGGCTATAAATATAACTTTGGATGTGAACATGCGTGATGTGGCTTGTACAGGCAGATCTGTTGAGTCTGGATTCAGGTTTCTAAGTGCCCTTGAAACTGAGCCAGACACAGCCTAAATGAAACCTGTCTTCTGTTCTGTGTGGCTTATGTGTTAGGTGGGAGGAAAGTAGGGGTCGAGTGTGAACTCGTGGTGGGGCTGCTCCCTCTGTATTTTTGAGTGTGTTTCCAGCAAGGAAGACAACAGAGTAATGAACAAGAATCATTTTACTACTGACAGATGTTATTTAAAGTGTGCCTTGCTTCTCCACTTAACCATTTTTATGCTGTGGTTTTATAAGCAGAAGAATGAATTAGAGTTCGTTAGACTGTGGCAGGCCTCTTCAGAGGGCCCTGCATGTGGGCCGGGGACGAGCTGTGAGAGTGGGAACAGGGAAAGGGGATGTGTCTGCAGGCGGGCGCTCATGGCAGCTGTGCAGATCTGGGCTTCTCCTACCAGGGCCAGGTGAAGAGACCCAGCAGAGGGAAGCAGGAGCAGTGGGTTTCACGGAGGAGGGCGGAGGTCGGACCCCAGCAGGCACTCAAGAGTTCCTTGTCCCCAGGTGTTCCCGGTGACGAGCTCAGGGGCCCCAGTCAGTGAGTACCCCTTCGTGAGGACGGGCTTGCTCGGCTTCGTTGGCCCCGGAGGGCTTGTGTTCGTGGTGGGCAAGATGGACGGGCTTATGGTGGTCAGCGGGCGCAGACACAACGCCGATGACATCGTGGCCACAGCACTGGCTGTGGAGCCCATGAAGTTTGTCTACAGAGGAAGGTGGGTGTGCTCTGTGGTTTGTATGGCTCTCCACAGGCTACACTTTTTATATAAAGCTGCAGAAAATTGCTTAAACTAATGGGACTCTCTGTCCTCTGTACACTGAAGCCCCTGAACTCTGTGACTTCTGCGATTCTGTGCAGTTCTTAATGTCCAATTTTATGAAAATTTTCTGAGCCCGATAAATGCATTTTCACTAGGTTCTCCAAGTTAAAGAATCATATCCATTTGAAAAGCATATTTTTAATTAATAAACTACACAAAGAAAAGAACCAAGCATTTATCTTGTTGCAGTTCATTCACCCAAAGGTAACAAATGAGCCATAAACTGCCTCCTGTGGGTTCCTGCTGGGTGGTGTTCCTAACCCCTGCTTAGCACACAGCCAATGCTGGATCACTGACCATGGCTCCTGAGGTTTTGCTGATTTGGAGGAAGTCAGCTGCTCTGGGTTTCGCCCTGTGTAGCTGAGCTGGCAGGAGCAGGAAGACGCAGAGCTTCTGGTTGGGTGTAGCCCAGCCACCTTTGTGCAGAGGACCCCCCAGAGGGCCAGTTTGTGCTTCCCCTGAGAGAATCTAGGCTAGCAGAAAACCATTAACTCCCCAATGGCAAAGTTCTGCTCACTTGGAGAATATTGCTTCGCAGGTACAAACTCAAGATGCAAACTGTAGGTCCCAGTAAATTTCAGGAGGTTTGATACCTGCGCAACTCCTGTCTGTCCTGGCTTGAGACCCATTGCCCAAGCTGCAGCAGGCTGCTTCCACAAGAAGTGTGGCAGTCGTCCTCCACCTGCCCCCTGGCTTTGCCAGACTTCTCCCCCTGTGCTTTTGTGGGTGAGCGCCTGGAAGTTGGAAGCTGCAGTTTTTCTTTCCCAGGGGGGTTAGTTGGTGCGAACCTCTGAGCTCTCTGGTCATAGTAGCTGTGAAGCCCTTCATGGCAGGGCCAGTCCTTCTGTGAGCATCTCCAGCACGTGCTCACCACCGTGTCCTGTCTGCATCCACAGAATAGCCGTGTTTTCAGTGACTGTCCTGCACGACGAAAGGATTGTGATTGTGGCTGAGCAGAGGCCAGACTCCACGGAAGAGGACAGCTTCCAGTGGATGAGCAGGGTGCTGCAGGTAGCTCGCGCCTGCCCCGAGCCCCCTCCCTGCTCACATCATTTTCCCTGTGCCATTGAGCACTCTGCTTATCCCTCCTTCTGACCAGAGACTCATCAGCTGCAGAACCTGGGCTTGCCTCCTGGGGGCGGGGAGCTAAATAGACCTGGCCTAGGGGTCAGAGGTGTGCAGAGCTGCTCCCATTCGCTCGTGAAGGTCGCAGCAGCAGTTCTTGTTATGACTTTGAGAGCGTACTTTTTTCCTCCCAGTGTCCGTTCTCACGTGTTTGGTGTTCCACGTATGCTCCGTGACCTGTGTGTTCTGCTTGGGTTGGCGACCTGCCTTCCTGACCTCAGTGTCTCCATGATGGGAGCTTCGCGGGTGCTGCATGTGCTTCTGCGTGTTGTGCTGTGCACAGTCTGAGTATTTGCTCTTTGTCTGTTCACTATACTTGCTTCACATGGTTCTTTCTCTTGTGGCTTTCTAGGCAATTGACAGTATACATCAAGTTGGGGTTTATTGTCTGGCCTTGGTTCCAGCAAACACCCTCCCCAAAACCCCACTCGGGGGCATCCATTTGTCAGAAACGAAGCAGCTCTTCCTGGAGGGCTCACTTCACCCTTGCAATGTCCTCATGTGTCCCCACACATGCGTTACAAACCTGCCTAAGCCTCGGCAGAAGCAACCAGGTACGTCTGAAGGGCTATGAGGGCCTGGGGTGGTCCTGGGTCTGGGCAAGGGCCACACCAACCCTGTTCTCAGCCTTCCTCTTCTCCAGCCTCTGGTCATACACTCTGACAGGTCAGCCTCCTCCTAAACACTGTCTTGCTATCACATGTGGGAAGAAGGTAGTGGAGTCCAGGCCCAGGGCAAGGGCCACTGGGAAGGAGAGGTGCTGGCAGTACCTGAGCCCAGCCTCCTTGGCAGGTGTCAGACCTCCTTAAGGACTCTGGCAAAGCACCTCTCAGGGTCACCACTCCTTCCTACAGACGTTAGAATAAAGCCTGCAAACCTCTTCGATAGCTTACAGCCCTTGGAGCCTGTGAGGAGTTCTGCAGCTTCATTTGTGGTGTTGTCATGATGCTGAACATTTGTCTGCTGATTTGCAGTTTAGTGAAAGTGAAAGTCGCCCAGTTGTGTCTGACTCTTTGTGACCCCATGGGCTATACAGTCCATGGAATTCTCCAGGCCAGAATACTGGAGTGGATAGCCTTTCCCTTCTCCAAGGATCTTCCCAACTCAGGGATCAAACCCAGGTCTCCTGCATTGCAGGCGGATTCTTTACCAGCTGAGCCATAAGGGAAGCCCAAGAATACTGGAGTGGGTAGCCTTTCCCTTCTCCAGCGGATCTTCCCGACCCAGAAATCAAACCGTGGTCTACTGCACTGCAGGTGGATTCTTTACCAACTGAGCTATCAGGGAACGTGTAACTATAAATCATCTGACTTGGTCCTCCTAGCAACGATTATGCTTTTTAAGGTGGCACCCAGTTACCAGTGAAGAGGAATTTATTGCAAGAATTTGGTGTTAGTATAGTGATGGAAAGCCCCCAGCCTCCAGGCTTGACATGCAAACAGACCAGGGGGGTAGCCAGGTGAGCCCAAGGGGTGTTAGAACGACGAGTAGCAGGCCTGGTACAAGCCGCCCATGCCTATACACATTATTGGTATTAACCTGACTCGTCCTCTTGGAGCCTTAAGGAGTGGGCATTCTTGTCTCCATTTTACAAGGAAATGAGATCATGCCACAGAGGGGTTCAGGAACTAACCCAAGGCTGTAGGGCCAGAGTATTGGAGAGACAGACCCAGGCCTGATACTCTTTGCTCCACTGATGAAGCATGGCAGCAGGGGCAGAGATCACGACAAGTTGGCTAGAGATGGTTGATGGGCCCTGGGTACAGCACAATGGTGGTAGACGTAGGAACCAGGCCACCTCCCAAAGCAAGCTTGATGCAGTGAGAGTGAGCAGTCTCTCCAGATTCAGGTGAGGGCACTGGTGCTGCAGGAGGAATGGGGTTACCCACTGGCTGACCACCACGCTCTGCCAGCAGAGTAGGCTGTGGGGCCGGGCTGGGACTCCCATGGTAGAGCTTATATCCTCCCTGAAAGAGCTCACAAGGCCTCAGCTCTCACTGCTTTCCGGGCACCTTAGGTTGGCATTTACCAGTAATCTTTCTCTGAAGTTTTCTAATGTTGTCAGATTCCTTATTAATGTTCTCTCTTTTTCCTCTTACCTCTGTTTTGTTGTTTGACTGTTTGTGGTGTGGAGGGTAGAATTATTTCCCAGTGAAGCACCCACTTCTTCACATCCTGTGGGCACTGGCTTCGGGTGGCCAGCCAAGACATACACAGGGCACAGCCCTTCATGAGCATGAGAAAAGGATGGAAAAAAAGCCTGGCATGTTTGTACTGAATGGACAAGAGTTTCTGGGCTCCCCAGGGAGGCTTCACTCACTGAGCCTCCCTCTCCCTCCTCTAACCCTGTTCATTCCTGGACACCTCGACCTGGTGTCCTGGCCCCCAGTGGGCCCAGGTACTGGGACGCAGTTGGTGACCAGAGTTCAAGACAGATGCTTAGGATGAAGGATCGCTGGTAAATGCCATGACCACCGCAGGGCTGCAATACTCAGGTGTTGCTGGATGACTGGGAACTCTGGACAGCGAAGTGTGACCCAGCGAGTGGGCTGTGAGAACTGGCTGGTCACCTGCCAGGGCACTGAGTAGTGCCAGGACATCCACACCACTCTGAGGCAACTCGGAAAGGACAGCTTCATGTAACTGGCAGTTTTAAGGAAGGATTCTCTAATGGTATCTGGTGTCTCATCTGTTCTTGTTAAATAATGAAGGTTATATGACTCTGTTGTCAAAAAGCTAGTTTTTTCCAGCAAATACTGAATGCCCTTCACCAGAGAACAAAGGCAGTGGCCTGGGAGGACGCTTAGGGGAGATGCTGAAAGCTTTATTTCACCCTCACTTGAGGTTTGCTCCTGTTTGTCTTTGTTTTCATGGTAGTGACTTACTTGAAACCCTGTTCTAATCAGGCTTTTCAAAGTCACATCTTTGAAAGGAAATCAGAGTAAGCTCCTTCCCAAAGTGGGAAGTTATGTTTTCAGGAACTTGACTCGCATCCTAGCTCATGTGTGTGCTGCTGCTGCTTTGCAGAGATCGGCCCTGCCTCTGTGATGGTGGGGAACCTGGTGTCTGGGAAGAGGATCGCACAGGCCAGCGGCAGAGACTTGGGCCAGATAGAAGACAATGACCAGGCCCGGAAGGTGAGAGTTTGTCTGGTTCCTCTCCACTCCTGCCCAGATGCTGTGTCACAGGTGTCACTGACTCCTACTTGCCCTCTCTGCCAGCCCAGTGTTAGCATTGATGGCATTTCTTCCTGCCTCCCTGCAAGACCCTTCTGTAATCTCATAAGGAAATCGTGTTTGCTGGGGTGCAGTGTTTAGGACCCCTCACATGGAACAGAAATGGTTGGGTGACGCAGCCCATGACCAGTAGGCCTGAAGCCAGCGTCTGCAGTCCCTATCCTGTCCTGGTGTTCCCTGCACACTTGTTCTGGTTCTCCACCAGCTCTGACTGGACACTCACACTGCCTCCTGGACACCTTGTGGTGAGGTTTCAGTCCTTGGATCATTGCAATTCAAGGAAGTGTCAATTCAAAACCCAGGTTTAAAAGCCAGACATTCTTAAAGCAGCATTGGGAGTTGTAGGAGGAATATTTGGGCCCTTCTCCACATAAGCATCAGACACACAGTTTGTCCCACGCAGCTGCAAGTCCCCATTATAGCATTCAGCTGAAGAATTCTGGTGATTCACCAAAAGGTGGACCCACTCTGTGTGGGCTCCAAGGAAATATGACAAAATCAGCCATTTAAGATGTTGCCAGTTTGGTAACATGTAGTAACATGTTCATAAAAAGTGCTTGATGACCATGTTCTACACCTCACACTGCATTTCTATCATAAAATGGATTAAGATGAACCTGTGGTGATTGCTGTGTCAGTGACATGAAACAGGACTGTCCTTGTTACTGTAGACATGTTAGTGGGTGCATGTGATCTGTGTGATCTCAGGGCTGTTGAATGCCTTCAGAGGTGACCACTGTAAACACAGCAAATTTAAGAGAGCCCATTTTTGAAACAGGGTAGATCTGTGTCGACTACTCTGTCTTTAAGGGCAGTGGCATCTTCCCATCCTTGGGCAGATTTCAGAGGACTTCCCTCATGATGGCACGGCCCCAGCCCTCCAACTTCTGGATCTGCATCAGACACAGTGAATTCCAGTCACTGCCAGGAAAGCATTGTAAGCGCCTGCTTATCCTGTCAATTATATTTGTCAGAGATTATTCTCTCCTGTCTTAAGGCACCCTCAGAGCACCCCAACAGACCCTACTGTTAGAAGTTGAGCCAGCCCAAATGCCCAGGATGGTCTGGACCTAACATCTGTGCTCTGTTCCAGTTCCTGTTCCTCTCGGAAGTCCTGCAGTGGAGGGCACAGACCACCCCTGACCACGTGCTGTACACGCTGCTCAACTGTAGGGTGAGGCCCCACCCATGTACCCTGGTGTTGCCTGTGTGCTCCATGATTTTATGCTGCTGTTTCATACTCTCCACTCAAACCTTTCTCCTGAGTCTTACCTAAATCCTTCTGTTTGTTTGTTGCTATTTTGATTGAGACCTTTCACCTAAGAAAGGTCACTTTTTAATATAAGGGTTTGAGTGTGTGTGTACATGTGCTTAGTCGCTCAGTTGTGTCTGACTCTCTGCAACCCTTTGAACTACGGCCCACCAGGTTCCTCTCTCCATGGGATTGTTCAGGCAAGAATACTGGAGTGAGTTGCCATTTCCTCCTCCAGGGGATCTTCCCAACCCAGGGATCGAACCCACGTCTCCTTTGTCTTCTGCATTGCAGGCAGATTGTTTACCTGCTGAGCCATCAGTTGTATATATACACGTTATTTGTGTATGTATGTATTTTGGCAATATTTTTGCAGTATCTTCTCCTAAATGAGTGGAGAATGTCTACAATAGAGAACAGTTGTGGATCTGTGAGGTATTTATGTTTCTTTTTATTATTTAACTACTTTTTTTTTTGGTAAGAAGTCATATTTTAGTTACAGGCTTTCATTCTTAGGAGTGAAAATAATCTTTGTAATTAAGGTTCATATTTACATTTCTCATTAGAAAAGTAAATCATCAGATTGTGCTCCATTATAGTACTTAAGAGTAAGGCCTTAACTGCACAAGCAAATAGTACTAACAATGAGCAGTAAATGCAGAAGTCTTAAAATATACCTGTTATTGTTTGCTCTGGAAATAAAGCCTTAAAACTAGATTTAACTAGGTCTTCTTGATTAGTGTGGATGCTTGCAACTTTAAGACATTATAGCTCTTCAGAGATGCAAAATATCATAATCTTTGTGCACAAAGGTGCTTCTTGTCACTTAGAGCAATCAGTTAAGGACAAGTGAAAGGAAATGCCAACAATGTAAGTCCCTCCCTAAATCTCTAAGTTGGACATCCAGCTGCAGACCAGTTTTGCAGTGATTTAGTTTGTAGAAGTACTTCTGGTCCTCCTCTGACTCAGCTCATCTTGACCCTGCATGCTGAGCTGACCTCAGCAGTTCTTGCTTACTGTGTCTGTTCAGACCGACCCCAGGAAGAGCCTTAGAAAGCACTCCTGCTCCTCAGTTTCTGTGAGAAATGCTTGCTATCCCTGCCTTTTGGTGCCTACGCTTGGATCCCCTTCCCAGGATTAACTCTCTTGGCTCAGGGCCCACAGGTGCACATGGGTCATGAGTCCAGTGATGTGGTTACTGGGAGCCCTGTGTCTGATCTGAAGCCAGCCTGCCTGCTGCTTTCATCTTTTTCCTTTGGCTCTGCCTCAGTCTATAAACACAGATAAGACTTCTTTTCTGGCACTGGTGCCTTGTTGTGTCCCAGTTACTCTGTAATCATTGCTTCTGACTTTGTCCTCCGCCCTGGCATTTCTCCTGGAGACTGTTGGTGACTCCCTTTTTTCTGCAGCATCTCTTGTGGTGTCTGGTGGTTCCCAGCAGCACCTCCAGAGGGGCCACTGGAGCTGGAGCCTTATCCAGCCTGGCCTCAGCTTCAGGAGGGACTCCTCTTCAGAGTCCCTTCCCTGAGCTCCCTGAGGGTGACCCCTCCAGAGCTCTGGGTGAGATGAAGGTTCATTGCTGTCACAGACACAAAGATTCAGAAATGATTTGGTTGTATTGGTAGACGGTAGTCCTGTCAGCAGGAGGAAACAGCTGGTCCAGCCACCTGTCGCTTGGGGGCTGGCAAGTGTGCTGGACGGGTCAACTGTGTCCTCATTCCCAGATCCTGAGTTCACAGTCCTTTGCTATGGGCAGACACGAGGTCGCTGGGGAAATGTGTTCACCAGAAATGAGTCATATTCTCAAAGAGGTGAGTTGTGGAGGTCAAAGCCGTGTGTAAGCTTACTTCAGGTCAGCGTAGAGACAGCATGGCCCACAGTAGTAGCCTTCCTTCAGACAGGAAGCCTTCCTTCCTTCTGTTTCCCAGGCCTTCTGATGTGGCGACAGCTGCATCCACAGAGCTGGATGGGTCAGCAGGGAGTTGGTGTCTGCGCTCATCCCTGTCCTCCCTCAGCCCTGTGTGCACTCAGCACAGGTGTTCAATCTGAGCCACAGGTCAGGAGCATCCTTTCCATGGCCGTCACAGTGGAATTTCCACTCACTAAACCTTCTAGCTCAGCACCATCCAGTAGAAATCAGCACAAGCCACACACACAGTTTTAATATTTTCTGAAAACAAAATTTTGAAAAGGTGAGAATAAACAACTGAAATTCATTCTAATAATATGTTTTATTCAGTATCCCCAAACATTGTCCTTCCAGTGTGGGGCCACAGGCCGCTTCCAGGTATCCTCCATTCTGGACAGCCCCTCAGTTGTTGCAAGTCCCAGCTGGGTTGCGCCACCTGTTTACTGCCCACAGCACTCATTTGTATGCCCTCCTCCACGGCATCGTAGTCCATAGTGTCGGAGCTGTTGTGCTAGGCTTGTAGGCAGGAGTGAGGATTTGATTCACTGCAAATCGGGAAGGACTTATGTTCTTGGAATTTATATACAAAGAGCATCTGTTATTTTTTTAAGAGAAACACCAGCCAAGGCTTTTAACTTTTTTTACATTTTAAAATGTGGATCATTTTTGGCTTTTTCTTCATTCCTGAGTATGTTTTTACTTGTCATTATTTAATTTAATGTAAAACTTTGCAGTGGTGCCATGTTTACAGTCACCTACACTGAAATCATTGTCTTCATAGCAACTAGGTGGTGGATCACCTTGCATTACTGTTTTGTCATGATACCAGCCAAGACCTCTTTCAGGGAACATCAGCCCTAATTTTCTGTTATGTCCTTTTTCTCTGATGTACTTTACATAGAACCTTCTTATGCAGTGGTTTTCTATACTGAAAACCCAACTTTTTCCATGAATGTTGATGAGGATGCCAGCTAACCACTGACCTGAATATAAACAGCATTTTGTTTTTTGTCACAGTGAGCACTTTGGAAAATGAAATGTGTGGCTGAAAATTAGCGTTTCTCCTGAGGTGAAGGGCCCCATGACAAGTGGTGTTGCATGGTGTGGGGGTGGCCAAAGCCTGTGTCCTGTGACACTCTCTCAATGTTGAGCCTGTAGGCAGAGACTTGGGAGGGGAGGCTGTGCTGGGTGTATTGGCACCAGACTGCCATGAGGGGCCCTGGGTCTGGTGTAAACCCTGTGGGTGGGAAAGGGTATTTTGAAGCAGTGGCAGAGATTGCTGAAAGACAAAATGCAGGTAGATCTCACCATTTTGAAGCATCTGGAGATAGATGTTCTCGGAACGAGAGTCAGAACATTCAGCTACTCGTGAGTCATCAGTGCTTCTTGCATCTTACAGGCTTTGTCATATGACAGGAAAGCTGATACTGATAGAGGATCAGTGCTGGCTCTCTGGATAACTCAAAGAAGAGCAGCTGAAAGAGTTTAACAGCTCAATCCCAGAATGCTCGCTTCTTAAGATAAGACTCACTAATGGACCAGCGTGGGCAGCAGGGTGGTGGCGGGAGTCCCCAGTTGGTACTGCCGCCCCACCAGCAACTCGACTGGTCCCTGGCCGCGGCCAGGAGTGCAGTGCTGGTGTTCCTCCAGGACAGCTGGCATGCAAGCCTGGGGGCTCGGGGTAGGGGGCGGTGGTGTTGGCCTCACCTTGGTATGCTAGGGGCTAGTGCCCCATCTTCACTTAGAAGAGCTCACAGGACTGTTGGGTGAAGGGATATGTTTTGGTTCATGCGCACACATGTGTTGCACAGGAGTGATTGCTCAGAGGACTGGTCCAGCTGCAAAGGCACCAGTTCTCAGATTTCAGCTGGATCCCAGACACCAACCTCGTAGGTCTTTCTGTGTTTACCCGGCTTTGCCACATTCTGCTCTCTGGCTCTTCCACTTTCTGTGTCTTTTTCTGTTTATTTTTTAACCTTCCTCACAAGGAAGATGATGAAGGAAAATATGTGGGATGAGAAAGTTCAATTCAGAGAATTGTAAGCATAGCCCCACTGTGGGGAGGCTGGTCTCAGCAGGAAGGGTCCTGAACCTGCCTGGCAGCTGCCTGGGTGGCCCCCCTCCTCCACTGGCCTCTGTGCCCCAGGGCCTGGTGATCTATGCACCCCAGGCCATCAATGATTTCATGAGTGTTTTGGGCAAATGCCAGCGGCTGGTGTATATATCCTTTTAGGGTTCACATCCCACTGGATCCCACACACCCCGTGTGGGATGTTCTACTTGGGTGGCATTTCTAGTGTCTCTTCACACACTTCAAGTCACCAGGTCACCCGTATCCTTTAACGGCCCCAAAGATTCAGTCTCTCCTGTCCACGTTTCTCCTCCCACAAAACCAACTGCTCACACCACCTCCCTGTGGACAGTCGTCTTCATGTCACTCCCCTTGGAAGCTCCCAACCTCAATAAATGAATCAGGCCCTGGTGCCCACCATCCTGTGTCCAGCTGCAGAGTCTTCCTCATCCGACACTCCTGTCAAGTTTGCACTTTGTATAAGGAGAGGTCCTTCCCTTGTTCATCCCTTTAAAGTCGGAATTGATGATAAAGCACTTTTTAAGTAGTTGTAGACAATAATCTCTTCTTACTTGGGAATATGTGCAAATAAAAAGTACATTCTCAAGGGAAACTTTTTTGGATAAGTTGTATGTTTATAATTTGTAGTTTATTCTTGCTTTTATAAATAAGGAGTAAATGTCATGTATTTTGATATCTCTTAGTACCTGTTTTGCTACTGATTTTTGTCCTCAGTGTTTTTAAGGTACTTTTCAATCCAAATGTGTTTATTTGTTCCTGCGTATTTAAAAGTCTACATTAAATGAATTTGACAATTCCCATTTTTCCTTTTGTTTTTTTTTTGGATGGTTGCTTTTCTGGGAGTTGGTTTGTTTTCTGACCTCCTTGACTTTTGATGTGGTCTTTTTTAAAAACCGTTTCAATTAGTCCTATTTTTCATAGTTCAGATCCTCCAGATTTATGAATAATTTCTTATTATTGCCCATGACAATTACACATAAGTCCAAAAATTACTAGATTGATTTTGTTTTATACTTTTAGTTGTTTTTTCATGTCCAGTAATTATTTTTTAAATGTTTCTTGTTAATGCAGATGTATCTGGAGTCATCTTTGGTGTTGTACTTCCTAGCTATTGGGGAGGAGAGGAGAGCAGAATGCCAGTGGTGGGTGGTCTTTTGAGGGGGTAATGAAAATGTTCTGAAGCTGGCTGTGGTGGGGGTGATACAACTCTGCAGATACATCCACTTAACTGTACATTTTAAATCAGTGAGTTGTATGGTATACAAACGGCATCTCAAAGCTGGGATATTAAAGAAACATCATACCCATTTGTTCTTGTGATACTCAGGGCACAATAGCAAACTCACTGACTTGTGTCCAGCTGCACAAGCGGGCTGAGAAGATAGCCGTGATGCTGATGGAGAGGGGACACCTGCAGGACGGGGACCACGTCGCCCTGGTCTACCCACCAGGTAAGAAACGGTGTTGTGCAGACCAACCCCTGCCTGAGGGACCCTGCATCACACCCATCAGTGCTCAATGGCCTCACTGTGTTAACCACCAAAATGGGCCCCGACCCCGGCCTGGCTCACAGGGTGGACTGTGTGCTCCGTGCTGTATGACTGATGATGGGGTACAGACAAATTGGTATTTCACAAAGACTTTTGTATCGAACTTTATTTTATTAGCTATCTGAGGCAGTTCATTTAATCAGTAGTTAAATACTTGACCACTGAGTGGATAATCAGGAAGTTGAGTATAAAGACTCCTTAGAGGGATGACAGCAGTGAAACCTCTGGGCTACATTGGCTTCCTGTACCTGAGAGAACAGGGCTGCTGGGGGCTGTCCCTGAAGTCTGACAGACGCGTGGGGGTGGCCCCCTGCCTGCCTGGCTGCTCCAGGTTGGTCCTCCTGCTGCTGCGTCTCACTGAAGACTGCTCCTCTCTCTCTGCAGGCATAGACCTCATCGCTGCATTCTATGGCTGCTTGTATGCAGGCTGCGTGCCCATCACTGTCCGTCCCCCACACCCACAGAACATCGCCACCACGCTGCCCACCGTGAAGATGATCGTGGAGGTAATGATGCCTGCGGGGTCTGGCCCGAGTGCTGGGCTTGTAGACTACAGAGCCTGGGCCCCAGGACTGGTGTGGGCGTCTGCAGTCCCAGCAGCGGAGGGGGCCCAGCCTCTTATTCTAGGAGCTTGCTGTTTTGCTCTGGAATCAAGATAGCAACTTGTGCGTAGAGTTAGGGGCTAGAGAGCAGTTTTGCCACAACGCGTGGGAGTCAAATCCACTCCCTAGAGAGGGCACCCCTCCAAACACTGGGCGATTCCCCACCAGCCCAAGCAACAAACCAGGAGGAGTGGGAAAATCAGAAGTTTTAAAGTTTCTTTCCTCAAGACTGAAAAGCAGCCTATTCCTTTTTGAAAGTACAGTTTGTTTTAACTTTTTTGTTTTTGTTTTTGCCTGGTGAAGTTTAAGAGGATTAAGATAAGTTTTTCCCCTTAGAGGAGGAACCCCAAGGGGCATCACAAATGAATACTTGTTTGTAGTTGAGTCAGAGAACCTTCAGGGTTGTCACTGTGGCAGTAAGTGCTGAGGTTGTGTGTGGAGAGTGAGCATTTCTGGAGAATGGGGAGTGTGTAGTGAGAGTGGGTAGTTTGGGTAGTGCTTTCTGAGGTGACGGCCACACGGTTGACACCACTCAGCTCTAGTAACTGCCAGGGCCTCAGTTCGCACGAGCTCTGCTCGTGTGGTCTGTGGTCAGATTCCCAGTCACATGGACCTCCGTTGGCTGACATGGCCCTGAATGAGGTGGCTGTGCACGCAGCCTACCCTAGAGCTACACGGCTTCCACGTGGTGCACAGCTGGCACGCGAGTAGGCATGGTCCCCTGTCCTTTACCCTCCTCCTCTCCGTGCCTTGTTCTCTGACCCTCAGGTGAGCCGTTCTGCCTGTCTGATGACAACACAACTGATCTGTAAATTGTTACGGTCCAGGGAGGCAGCTGCGGCAGTGGATGTCAGGGCCTGGCCCCCTATACTAGACACAGGTTGGTTCTCGAACTTACCAAAAATGTCTGTTTGCTCATCTACTTTTCCACTAAGTCAGAGATGCTAACAGCTTGTTTTCCTCTCCAGATGATTTGCCAAAGAAGCGGCCTGCCCAGATCTACAAACCTTCCAACCCAGACACGCTAGCCTATCTTGATTTCAGTGTGTCCACAACCGGGATGCTAGCTGGAGTGAAGGTAAGAAACAACCTGAGTAGTGTGCAGTTAGCAGGCCATACGGCGATGCTTAATTTTCGTTCTTATATGTATAGGGCTCTGGTGGGGCTTGGCATCGAAACACAGAGAGAGGTATATGCATATATGTGTGTTCTGGTCAAGCTATAAAATGCGTGACCATTTTAGTAGTTATCTAGGCTGACTGATTATTTCCCAATGTTCAAACAATTTTTTTGTGTATAACCACAGCTTCACTCAGTTCAGTTCAGTTCAGTAGAACTGCCTATGTTTCCCTTTCTTGCTGGTTCTCAGATCTCAGTATTCTATTATAAAACTCTGTGCACAGGAGTTCCTTGCATTTTTAACAGGAGTCTCATTGTAACAGGCCAGAACACTACTTGTTGCTGTTGCTTTTTCCCATCAAAAAAAGGAACTAGTACGTGTGTCACCTGAGTTAGGACTCTCCTAGGTTAGGCAGGGTCCTCATCAAGATACTGTTGAGTTCTCTAGCCTCAGGAAGCCCTGCACCTATTATTTGCCTGATTGCTGAGCTTCCATAATTTTCAGTTCTCTTGCTTGAATTTTTTTTCCAATTTTGTAATTGTAGTAAAATACATGTAACATAAACTTACCACTTAACCAATTCAAGTGTATGGTTCAGTGGTATTAAATTCATTCACAGTTCTGTGCTTCTGTCACCAGCACTCACCTTCATAACTCATCTTCTAAACTGAGACTTGCCCCTACCTCCCAGCACCTCCCACCCTGCTTTCTGTCTCTGCGATTTTGACTGTTCTAGTACGATGTTTACATGGAATCATACAGTATATGTCTTCTTGTGTCTGACTTATTTCACTTAGCATAGTTTCTTCAAGGTTCATCCATGTTAAAGTATATATCAAAATTCCTTTTTAAGGTTGAATTAATATTTCACTGTATGTGTTTACCACATTTTTCTTATCCATTGATTTTTCAATGGATACTTGAGTTGCTTTCACATTTTAGCTATTGTGAATCATGCTGCAGTGAGCATGGGGTGTAGAAATATCTCTTTGAAACATGGCCTTTAACTCTTTTAAATATATATCCAGAAGTTGAATTGTTGGGTCAAAGGGTAATTTTATTTTTATTTTGGGGGGAATTGCCATACTCTTTTCTACAGTAGCTGTCCCATTTTACCTTCTCACCAATGATGCACAAGGTTTTCAGTTTCTCTACATTCTTGCCAATTCTTGGAATTTATTTTCTGTTGGTTTTTCTTTTGAATATCTTCTTTTTCTGTGGCTGAGCCTCATGGCTTGCAGGATCTTGGTTCCCTGACCAGCGATTGAACGTGGGACATGGCAGTGAAAGTCTGGAGTCCTAATGATTAGGTCACAAGGGAACTCCCTGGGCATTTCCTTTTTTTTGTTTGTTTAAGTAGCCTTTCTAATGTATGTGAGGTAGACCACACTGTAATTTTGATTTGCATTTTTCTGAGGATTAATGATATTGAGCACCTTTTGGTATGTATTCTTTGGAGAAATGTTTATTCACCTCCTTTGCTGATTTTGAATTGATAGTTTTCTTATTGGTGTTGAGTTTTAGAAGTTCTCTGATACTGTTATCAGTTACATGGTCTGCAGATATTCTGTCCCATTCTTTGAGTTGCCCTTTTATTCTATGGATAGTGCCTTTTGATGCAGAAAATTTTTTAGTTTCCATGAAGTCTAATTTTGTCTGTTTCTTTTTTTTTTTTAACCAGTGCCTTTGATGCCAAGAAAGCATTTCCAAATCCGTTCTTTCCCCATTGAATGGTCTTGGCATTCTTATCAAAAATACGTTTGATCACCCACACTTAGGATCATACTTGAGAGTGAAAAGTTGAAACATTTCCAGAGAAAAAGCAAGATTTCCTCTAAGATCAGGAAGCCACTCTTATTCAGTATAGTGTTGGAAGTCCTAAGCAGAGAAATTAGGCAAGAAAAAAGAAATAAAAGACATCTAAGTTGGGAAAGGAAGAATTAAAATTGTCACTATTTGCAGATGACATGATGCATTGTATAGAAAACACTAAAAACTCCACCAAGAACTGTTACAATAAATAATTCAGTAAAGTTGCAAGATAACAAAATCAGTACAGAGAAATCTGTTGTGTTTCTGTACACTAATAATGAAATAGCAGAAAGAGAAAATAAGGAAACAGTCTTATTTACAACTGCATCAAAAAGAATACTGAGGAATAAATTTAACCAAGGAAGTAAAAGATCTATATACTGAAAACTGTAAAATATTGATGGAATAAGTTGAAAAGGACAAATGAAAGATATTCCATACTTTTGGATTGGAATAATTAATATTGTTATAATGTCCATACTACCCAAAGCAATCTACAGGTTCATTGCAGTCCCTATCAAAATTCCAATGGCATTTTTCACAGAAATAGAATAAACTATTCTAAAATTTGTATGAAACCACAAAAGACCCAAATAGCCAAAGCCATCTTGAAAAAGATCAGAGCTGGAGGCATCATGCTCACCGACATTACGAGGCTATAGTATTGCCAACAGTATGATGCTGGTACAAAAACAGACACAAAGACCAGTGACACAGAATAGCCCAGAAATAAACCCACACATAATGTTAACTCGTTTATGGCAAAGTAGCCCAGAATATGCTATGGGAAAGGACAGGCTTTAAGTAAATGTGCTTGGAGGATTGGACAGCCACACGCTAAAGAATGAAACTGGACCAATTTTCTACAGCATACATAAAAATGAACTCAGAGTGAATTAAAGACTTGAATATAAGACCTGAAACCATAAGTCTCCTAGGAGAAAACATAGGGGTCAGCTCCTAGACATTGGTCTTGGAGATTTTTTTAGTTTGACATCAATAGCAAAGGAAATAAAAGCTAAGCACGTGGAACTACATCAAACCAAAAGCTTTTGCACAGCAAAGGAAACCAACCAATGAAAAGGCAACCTAGTGAACAGGAGGAAATATTTGCAAACCACATATTGATAATGGGTTAATATCCAAAATATGTAAAGAACTCGTATAACTTAAGAGCAGAAAAACGATTGCTTAAAAATGGGCAGGGGATGTAAATAGACATTCTTCTGAAAAAGACATACAGATGGACAACAGCTACAAGAAAAGTGAGCTATCACTTCACACTTGCCAAGATGGCCATCATAAAAAAGACAAGAGATAGCGTGTTGATGAGGGTGTGGAGAAAGAGAAACCCTTGTGCACTGTTGGTGGAAATGTAAACTGGTGTAGCCACTATGAAAAACAGTATAGAGGTTCCTCAAAGAGTTAAAAATAAAACTACCATATTATCCAAAAATTCCACTTCTGGGTATTTATCTGAAGAAAATAAAAACACTAACTCGGAAAGATGTCTGCACCCCAGTGTTCATAGAGCATTATTTTACAGTAGCCAAGATATGGAAACAATATCAGCGTCCATTGGCAGATGAATGGATAAGAAAAATGAGACATGCTTGCCCACTCACCCATACCATCTATAAGCACACAGTGCAGTATAATTCAGCCATTAGAAAGAAGGAAATTCTGCCATTTATGACAACATGGGTGAACCTGAAGGACATCGTGCTAAGTCAGAAAGACAAATGCTATGTGATCTCACTTATATGTGAACTATTTTTTAAAAAAAAAACCAAGCTTATAGATAGAGAAAACAGATTGGTGATGGGCAAAAACAGGTGAAGGGAGCCAGAAGGTACAGGCTTCCGGTTATAAATAAGGGCTGTGGATGTATTGTACAGCATGGGAACTATAGTTAATAGTACTGTGTTGCGTACTTGGAAGTTGGTAAGAGAGTAAATTTTAGTAGCTCTTTTCATTAGACTTATTGTGGTGATCATTTTGCAATACATACATATATATATGTTGTGCTGTATACATGAAACTAACATAATGATGTAGATCAGTTATACCTCAATCAGTCAATCAATCGCATGTGAAGTCTAGGGAAAAATAAATTAATGAAAAAAATTTAAAAAATCATTTCACCATGTATGTGAGGTGGTTGTTTTTTTTTTTTTTTGTATGTGAGGTTTTATTTCTGGCTATCCTATTCTGTTTTTCTATGTGTCTGTCTTTATGCCACTACCACACTGTTTTGATTACAGTAACTTTCTACTAAGTTTTTAAATCAGAAAGGGTGAGTCCTCTGACTTTGTTGTTCTTTTTCAAGAAGCATCATAACATTCAGGGAAATCCAATCAGATGACAGAGAGCTTTTATTAGCCACCTTGGGGAAAGAGATGAGACACACCAGGAGTGAGGCCCTTCTGTCCTAGCTTGTAGGATCCCTGTCAAATTCTGCCCGGATGCTCTGAGCTAGTCCCTTTTACAGTTCAGTTCATCTCCACACTAACTTGAGATATGTCTAAGACCATGAACTTGGTAAAGTTTTCTGGGCTGCTTTTACTTTCCTGTTCCTCTTAGATTAGTTTGGCTAGAAAGCATCTGTGAAAATTGATGTTATTAGATATAATTTTTCTGTACTTTAAAAGAATTCACATTCCATACTGACTCTTGTGGGACTGGCTGCTGCCTTTAGAGAAACTCTTAACTGTAGCTATGCTGAGATTGGACTTGAATTCCCATGAAATGACAAGCTTATCTCACTGCACAAACGGGTGTGACCTTCAGCCAGTCTTTGCCAACAGGAGTCGTGCCTCCAGTGTACTCTGCTGCATGACAGGTGCAGGGCTGGGTCTGGAGGTGAAGCACGAGTTGGGTGTTGTCTCTGCCTGGAGAGGGCACGTGAGTGGTCACATGTCCCCATGTACTGTACAGGCTGTGGTGGGGTTGCAGTGGAAGCCACCATTCAAATGCAAGATGTCCCAGCCTCCTGGGCTGGAGTTACTAAGTCCTAAGGGACCGAGGAGTTTTGCTTGTGGTTTACTCATTGAAAACGGGAAGACTTAATGAGAACCCACAGCCTACCCTCTCCTAACGGAACCAGAGCTTGGCTACAATTGTCCTATCTGAAACCACCCTTGGCATTGGTGTCTGGTCCAGTGCGTTCTGTGCAGCCTGTGGTGGTGCAGCAGTCCTGAGGCTGGGCTCCAGCTCCAGTACCTGACACGGCCTTGCTGTCTTGCAGATGTCTCATGCAGCTACCAGTGCCTTCTGCCGTTCTATTAAGCTGCAGTGTGAGCTCTACCCCTCGAGAGAAGTGGCCATCTGCTTGGACCCTTACTGTGGACTTGGGTTTGTCCTGTGGTGCCTCTGTAGGTGAGTTTTCTCTGTATCTCTGTGATATAAGTAAATAATCATGCATGCTTTTTCAGATCACCTGTGAGCTCAGACCTGCTCATGGGAGGGGGCTACCTGCAGGATGTGGCTCCCTCTCAGCCTGGCTCTGCATGCTGGTAGCCAGGTAGCCACACTCTCCAGCGTCTGGAAGGTTCGTCTCCATAAAATTTGCTGAAACTAACAGAGACAACATCTGGGGCTGCTCTGAGAAGCTGTCTGTTGGGAGCCCATTTTCCAAGCAACTCCCAGACCTTGGGCTGGCTTCTTGTAGCTCCAGATCTTTGCAGATGTCCCAGGCCTGGAACTGTGACCAGGGGCATCCAGGCTCTTTCCTCCTCGGCTTCTCCCTGACTCTAGTTGGGGGAGGCTGGGAGCAGGCTCCTCTCCCCTCGTGGCGGGTATCAGGAGTATGTATAGAAAGAATGAATGTTTATTGGCATTTTTCTCTAATTGTACATATATGTTCATCATAGAAACTTTAGAAAATACAAAATAGTAAGCTTTCCATAAGTATACAACCTAGTGAAAGTGAAAGAAAGTGAAAGTCGCTCAGTCGTGTCTGACTGTTTGCAACTGCATGGACTATACAGTCCATGGAGTTCTCCAGGCCAGAATCCAGGAGTGGGTAGCCTTTCCCTTCTCCAGGGGATCTTCCCAACCCAGTTCTCTTGCATTGCAGGGAGATTCTTTACCAGCTGAGCCACAAAGGAAGCCCAAGAATACTGGAGTGGGTGGCCTAACCCTCCTCCAACGAATCTTCCCAACCCAGGACTCAGACCAGGTTCTCCTGCATTGCAGGCAGATTTACCAACTGAGCTGTCAGGGTGATTCCAATAAATACACTTATTAGCATTTTGGCATATAGTCTTTCAGATTTTATTTTCTAATGTAGTGTACTACTTTTTATTAACGTTTTCAAACATATGCAAGTGTTTTAAGTGTATAGAAATGCTGTAACAAACATCAGGGCCCAACAGCCAGCTTCACATGGATTGTGTTTTGCCAGTTTTGTATCATGGTGATGGAACTATTCCAGACTGCATTGTGGTGAGCATTGTATGACTCTGCGAATTTGTCAAAGTTCTTTTAATTCTGTGCTTCAAATGGTTGGATATATGATGTGCAAATTATACCTAAGTAAAACTTTTTTTTTTTTTTTTTAAGAAAACTTTCCTTGAAGTAACTGAGGTATATGGCCCAGAACCTACCCTGCCCATTCAGGAGGCTAACCAGTGTGACACCACAGGGTGACATGTGTTATCCTGGGTTGTACAACTGCCTTGCTCAGGGTGCCCAAATTGTGAGAGTTATCAATTCTTTGTATGTTTTATCAAGTTAATAATCTAAAATCATTGAATTATAAATGTATACCTTTATATTAGTTACCAGAATATAATTTTTCTCTCTTTTCCTGGTCAACCGTTTTTTATTTCAATTTTTTAATTTAGGTTTTCTTTTTCAGAGCACTGTTAGCTTCACAGCAAGATTGAAGTGAGAGTGCAGAGATTTTCTGTTCCACCCCACCCCCACATGCACAGCTTCCCCATTATAAGCATCTCCCACCAGAGCGTATGTTTTTTACAAACTAGGAACCTCCCTTGACATATTATCATCCCAGAGTCTGTAATTTACATCAGAGCTCACTCTTGGTGTTGTAGAGAGCCCAGAAACAGACTCATGTAAGTACAGTCCTTTGATCTTTGACAGACATGCAGAAGCAGTACATCCATACAGTGGCCTTTTCAACAGATGGTGTTGGAGCAACTGGACATCCACCCCCGCCCCCTGCAAGAAAATGAATCTACACAGAGGCTTTGTGGCCTTCTCAAAAATAGATCAAAATACATCATATACCTAAATGTGAAACATAAAACTATGAAACTCCTAGATGATAACTTGGGAGAAAATCTAGGTAGTCTTGGGTTTGGTGATGACTTTTTGACACACCTCCAAAGGCTTGATCATGAAAGAAATAATTGACAGACTGACTTTATTAAAAGCAATTGTCTGTGCTCTGCCAAAGGCACTGTCAAGAGAATGGGAGCAGGCTAGAGACTGGGAGAAAATGTTCCCAAAGTGTTTTTAAACTTTTATCTTCTTTTTGAAGTTAAGATCTAAACTGAAATAGTTGAGGTTCCAGAAATTTGCAGGAAATAATTTCTTCCCTTTAAGCAACCTGCTATTAAGTTGGAAAGTATATATAGCCAGTGCCAAGAAATCAGTCTTGGTTAATAAATGAAACAGCACACAATCAACTTCTGTTGGATTGAGACAAAAAAAAGGCAAGGAGAAAACTGGTGAATCAGGTTTTCGGTTGTCCTCTATTAGGATTTAATAGCTTTTTTATTAATGTTGACCTCCATTTACAGAAGTGAAGACAGAGGTGAAACTATGCTTATTTTCCACAAGTGTGCTTAGTTTCTCTAACCTTGAACTCCACACTGTGGACCCCACCTTTTGATGCCCTTAGCAGTCTGATCAAGCAGATCTTTTATCCTAATGTGTATTCTTAAGAAAGCTAGTAGTAGGTGATTTGCATTTTGTTTTCTTCATTTTGGGTCTCCTCATGATAGGATTTAAAAGGAAAATGCTGATAACAATATGGAAACGATAGATGGTCATAATTAAGAAGTGTATCATTATAGGGTGTTTATGTACATTTTGGTTCCCTGACACACGGGACTCCAGTGTTGTTAACTGAGCTTAGTGTGTGTGCCAGAAAATGGGAGTCCTCGGTGACAGAGAAGTGTGTAAACTGGAGCTGGAACAGAAGCCAGGCAGGGGTTCTAGTCAGGTGATCCAGTTCATCCTGATTCACGAGTGGGTTGAATAACATTCGGTGCTCATGGAATACTCCAAGCCATGTTCCTGGTGGGTAATTATGACTTATATGGTGCACAATGTGCAGGGTTGTTAGATCTTGGGCTGTTACCTGGCATTGATCCAATTTTGGCCAGGATTTTTCTTTTAACATCCATACAGCAGAGGTAAATTTTTCATTATTTTTATTTCTTCCTGCTTAATGGTGCCTTGAGGATTCTCATTGAAGTTGGCAACTGAGCTAAAAAGAAAGCTCTGATTCAGGGTCACACCACACATGGTCTGTAGGCTGATTCTGGAGCACCACATTGCAAAGGGCAGACAGTGCGTTGGTACCTGTGGCAGTAAACACCAAGGAGTCGTCCACTCGGGGGCTGCCGCTCGTGTTGGTGTGCTCAGGGGTAGGGGGTCTCCCTTAGCTCTCATGGCCCCTGGAAAGAAGACGAGTGCTCCAGGCACGGTCACCGGACCTCTGAGTGTGAGGGGCAGCCTTGGTGCGCTGTAGATCTAGGCTCCTCTTCAGACCCCAAGTGTGTATTCTTGAAAAGCTGATTGGTTAGAATTGAGAAAACAAGTAGGACATGCCGGTTTCTCAACCAGATGGAAAAACTGATTTTAAGGCACTGCAGTGTTGGATACAAGAACTTTTGGATAAAAGTGTGTTTTCACAAACTGCAGGACTTGGCTCCATTTGTGCAGAAGTGTTGTTGGATCCATCTGACTTGCAGTAAGTAGCTGTTTGACTAGGATATCAGTATTTGTAATATAGATATATCTGCTGTAGTGCTGTTTGATCTCTTAAATAACCATCATGTTATAAAGTCATCCTTAAAGACCTCAATCAGTTTCTGAAGGACAGATCTTAGAGAAAAATTGACAGAATTTTGAATGTTACAATTATTGGAATGGGCTCTTACTGATTTTTATATAATGACTATAAAAATAATTTTTATATGTTTCCATAGGACTCTAGTGGAATGTGCAGTTTTGCATATTATGTGAATAACACATAATATTCACATTAGCAGGATTTCAGAGGAAATATTTGCAAACTTTCAAAGAAAGTTTGGGGTATTAGAATACTTTATTCTGGTTACTAAGACCAGTCAGTATATCCTCAAAGCTCTTGGATTCCCTGGTGGTTCAGATGGTAAAGAGTCTGCCTGCAATGTGGGAGACCTGGGTTCAGACCCTGGGTTGGGAAGATGCCCTGGAGAAGGAAATGGCAACCCAATCCAGTATTCTTCCCTGGAAAAATCTCATGGATGGAGGAACCTTTTGTTCTGATGGGTGGGGTCATGCTCAGTAAATCTTTAATCCAATTTTCGGTTGATGGGTGGAGCTGTGTTCCCTCCCTGTTATTTACCTGAGGCCAAACTATGGTGGAAGTAATGAAGATAATGGTGACCTCCTTCAAAAGGTCCCTTCCATTCATGTACTGCTACACTCAGTGCCTGCACATCACAACAAGGCCCAGTTTCCCTCACTCAATCTCGCCCATCAAGAAGCTTCCATAAGCCTCTTACCCTTCTCCATCAGAGGGAAGACAGAATGAAAACCACAATCACAGAAAACTAACCAATCTGATCACATGGACCACAGCCTTGTCTGACTCAATGAAACTATGAGCCATGTGATGAAGGGCCACCCAAGACGGACAGGTCATGGTGGAGAGTTCTGACAAAATGTGGTCCACTGGAGAAGGTAATGGCAAACCACTTCAGTATTCTTGCCTTGAGAACCCTATGAACAGGATGAAAAGGCAAAAAGATAGGACACTGAAAGATGAACTCCCCAGGTCGGTAGGTGCCCAATATGCTCCTGGAGATCAGTGGAGAAATAACTCCAGAAAGAATGAAGAAATGGAGCCAAAGCGAAAACAACACCCAGTTGTGGATGTGACTGGTGATAGAAGCAAAGTCCGATGCTGTAAAGAGCAATGTCGCATAGGAACCTGGATTGGTAGGTTCATGAATCAAGGAAAATTGGAAGTGGTCAAAGAGAAGATGGCAAGAGTGAATGTTGACATTCTAGGAATCAGCAAACTAAAATGGACTGGAAGGGGTGAATTTAACTCAGATGACCATTATATCCACTACTGTGGGCAAGAATCCCTTAGAAGAAATGGAGTAGCCATCATAGTCAACAAAAGAGTCCAA